TCCCTAATATCCATTCCCAACATCCAACAGTAATATCCATCCCTAATTCCAACCCTAACATCCATCCCCCATATCCAACCTCACCCTCTCCTGACCCACTTCCCACCATTCGCTCGGGTGCCCAGCAATGGGACCCATGGGAACATCCTGGAGCTGCACCATGGCAGGGTCAGGTTGGAATTTAGGGAAAAGATCTTCATCCAGAGGGTTGCTGGGCACTGGAATCCCCATTCCCAGGGAATCCAGGAGCATTTGGACATGGTGGGATTTTGAGGTTGTCCAGGGGCCAGGAGTTGGACTGGACGATCCTTGTGGTCACCTCCAACTCAGGACATTTATTTCCATGATTCCATGATCCCTCCCCACAAGGAACACGTGGGAATGGTCCATCTCGGAAGTGACTGATCCCAATCCTACCTTTTTACATCTGTCCCATGTGATTGGAGGCATCTCCCATCCCAGGGTGGGGCCCTGCCAGGGACAGCGGGGGCGGATCCGAGGAGACCTTCTCTTCTTCCCTTCTTTTCAGGCACGCAGCCTTTGGATTCAGATTCCGTTCTGTGAGGGAAAGGAGACGTCCAACATCCCTATTTTCACCTCATGGAACTCCAACATCCCTATTTTCACCTCATGGAACTCCAACATCCCTATTTTCCCATCATGGAACTCCAACATCCCTATTTCCACCTCAGGGAGCTCAGACATCCCTATTGTCTCATCATGGCACTCAACCACCCCTATTCTCAGCCCCTTGAGGTTGGAAAAGCCCCCTGAGACCACGGAGTCCCACCACTCCCAAAGTTCTCCACTGACAGTGTTCCACCCCTGTGTTCCCGGGCGCCGCCCGTGGGACTGACCTCGGACCTGCTGCTCCAGGCTGAGGATGACGGCCACGGCCTGGTGGAGGATGAGGAGCTTGGTCTGGGGCTTGTCACTCTTGAGGTGGAGCTGCACCATGCGGCCCAGCTCCTTGAAGGCCTCATTGATGTCGCGCACGCGCAGCCGCTCCCGCGCATTGTTGGCCATGCGCCGCTCCTTCTCCCGCTCCGCCTTTTGCTCCGGGGTCAGGTCCTCGTCGTCATTATTGCTGCGGGACAGAAGGCACACGGCATTTTCGAACGGCAGGCAATCGGCCAGAAGCTCCAAAGTCAAGAATTCCCGAGCCACTCATTGTTCCAACCAAAGCTGGGGCAGGGATTTGAGGAGGAAGGATTTGGTGTGGAGGTTTTGCAAGGTGAGAATTCTGAGCTGTTTATCCAAAGCTTTTTGTTGCGATAGGGAATTACTTAGGTTGGAAAAGGCCTCTGAGGCCATGGGGTCCAACACCAGCCCACGTCCCCAAGTGCCACATCCACACGGCTTAAAATCCCTCCAGGAAGGGGGATTCTACTCCTGCCCTGGGCAGCCTCTCCCAGGGCTTTAATCCCAAAGTTTGGGATTTGGGAGAACCCTTCGCCACTAAGGGTGGTTGGAGATGCCAAAGGCTTCTGGGTTTAAATCGTGGAATCTTGGAACGGTTTGGGTTGGGAACGCCATGGGCAGGGACACTTTGGAACGCCATGGGCAGGGACACTTCCACTATCCCAGGTTGCTCCAAGCCCCGTCCAACCTGGCCTTGGACATGCCAGGGATTGGGCAGCCCCAGCCAATGATAAAATCCAACTCTAAACTTCCCAAAAATCCATTCAGAATTTACAAAGGCTCCAAACCCTCGGAATTTACAGCAATCACGGACTGGGAATGACAAATGATACATAAAAGCAAAGCAAATCCAACCATATTCCAATATGGAAGCGTGGGATGAGAGGGCTAAGAGCCTAATCGATCGATTTTGGCCTAACATCATTTCTCAGTGGCCAAATTTGGGAATTGTTGGAATGGGAGGCTGTCCTGGAGCGCAGGTCCCCCAAAAGTGGCGGGTCCTGCCGGGCCAGGCGCTCCACGATTCCACCTGTTCCGTTCACTTCATCGAAATCCACGCAGGAATTAAATGAAGCGACACTGTTTCTCCCGTTACCTAGATCTTGACCTAGTAATGGATTTGATATCCTTCTTGTCATCCTCCAGTTTCTTGTCCTCCGAAGACTTGGTGTCCTGGAGGTTCTCGTCGCCCTCGTCGTCAGATTTGATCTCGGAGCTGCCCGACGAGACGCTCTGGCCTTGCAGTCCTGTCGGGATTCCTGCAGGAAAATGGGGAGGGTGAGTCAGGAAGGGCACCACCCGAGTGGTGGGATGGATTGGGTCAGAAGGGATTATGGATCAGCTCATTCCAAACCCCTGCCATGGGAAGGGACACCTCTTACTAGCCCAGGTTATTCCAGCCTGGCTGGTTTGGCTTGGAAGGGATTTTAAGGACCATCTCATTCCAACTCCTCTTCCATGAGCACCTTCTGCAAGACCAGGTTGCTCCAAGCCCTTACCCATCCCAGCTCATTCCCAGTTCATTCCAAGAGCAACCACCACCCCCCAGCCAGCTCAGGGACCGCAGGTGGATTCCGCTCCAAGCCAAGCCCCCAGTTCCCGGATCCTGGACAACCACGAGGCCGAGCTCACCAAAGAGTCCCGCCAGAGCACGACAATTCCAACAGGGATGCAGGAATGTCCACTCACCCCTGTAGGGATCCTGGGGCGGGTTCAGGTCCGGGGACGTGGCCGACTGGACGGGAAGCTGCGGGACGGGCACCTGGTTGGGCACGAGCGAGTGGCTCCCGCGGAGGCTCACCCCGTCCTCCCGGTGCGCTCCCACCTGCAGGACATGGGCAGCCCTCAGGACACCTCTGGAATTCTGCCCGTGGGCTCAGGAAAACCCCCGAGACTCTCAAGGCTCCTCGCCCACCAAACGGGTGTAGAATTCCGCCCGGGATTTGAGGAGGAAAGACTTGGTGTAGAGGTTTTGCAAGGGGGGAATTCTGAGCTGTTTATTCAAAGTTTTTTGTTGGAATAGGGAATTATTTAGGTTGGGAAAGGCCTCTAAGGCCATGTCCCCAAGTGCCACATCCACATGGATCTGAAATCCCTCCAGGAATGGGGATTCCACCCCTGCCCTGGGCAGCCTCTTCCAGGGCTTCAATCCTGAAGTTTGGGATTTGGGAGAACCCTTCTCTACCACTGAGGCTTGGAGGTGCCAAAGGCACTGGGTTTAAGTCATGGAATCCTGGAATGGTTTGGGTTGGAAGGGACTTTAAGGATCATCCCATTCCACCTCCTGCCATGGGCAGGGACACTTCCACTATCCCAGGTTGCTCCAAGCCCTGTGTAACTCGGCCTTGGACATTCCAGGGATGGGGCAGCAACAACCAATGATAAAATCCAGCTCTCAACTTCCCAAAAAGGAAAATCCCAGGAAGCCCAAGCCCCCACATCCCTCGGGATGAGCCCCGGCCCTGGGATGCTCCTCACGGAGGGCACAGATGGTCCGTGGCCGTGACAGACACTTGGGCAGGTAAAATGTCATTCCCATTCCCAAGGTGCCTCCCGGATTCCTTCCCATCTGTCCCCTCTCCAGCACAGCTGACAATTATCTCCAGGCCCATCTGTTTAATTGGGGGCTTCACAATTCCTCCCTGGAGTCGGGAAATCCGTCGGGAATCGTGAGTTGGCAGCGCGCTCAAAATGGTGGCTCAGTCTCCTGACAGCCCCCGACGTTCCCCGTGTCACTGCATTCCCGACATCAGGAGACACATCCACAGGGATTTATTAACCACCCAATCCCAAATCCAAAGGGATACCTCCCTGCCAGCTCAGGGTTCCACCTTCCCTAAGGAAAAGGGGTGATGGAGGCAAGGAAGGAATGACCAAGAGTAATTAGTGGGGAGAAGAGGAATTTGGATCCAGGAGGAATTGGGGGGGGACAGGAAAAACTGGGATTTGGGCCTCCAGGATGAGGAGAAATTGGGGTCCAGGAGATATTGGGATCCAGGCCCTCAAAAACAGGAGGAATTGGAATCTAGGTCCCCAGGACCTGGAGGATTTGGGGTCCAAGAGGAATTGGGATCCAGGAGGAATTGTTGGGGACAGGAGGAATTGGGATCCAGGAGGAATTGTTGGGGACAGGAGGAATTGGGATCCAGGCCGCCAAGACCAGGAGGAGTTGGGATCCAGGAGGAATGGAAATCCAGGAGGAACGGGGGTCACTACCACTACATTCCCACCAGGAAGCTGCTCCCTCATCCCAGACTCATCTGGATTGGAAAGGACCCCAAGCCCATCCCCTTCCACCCCCAAACTTCCCAATGCTGGGACCACCACAGCAACATTCCTTGTCCTTTATCCCATGGGATAAATCCAGCAGGGAATTGAAAGGGTGCTGTGTGTTAACCCAGGGCCGAGACAGGCCTGATTCCAAAGCCAAGCCCAGCTAAACCTGGCTTAACCCCCCCAGCAAATCCATCCCATCCCGCTGGATGTGTGTATTCCAAATGATTCCCTTCTCCGGCCCTTTCATGTGCCCGTCATCCCATAATAGTTGCCAGATGAGTGCTGGCCAGGCTATAAATAAGATCAAAAGGGAAGGAAAGGATTTAATCAGCACCAAAAAAAACACCCGGAGAGGGGAATGAAAACAGGGAAAAGGCAAAGTTCAGAAGCCTTTTTCCACAGGAAACTTTGGTTCCAACAGAAAACTCCCTTTTTCTCCAAAAAAAAAAACCCCAAACCTTTTTTGCCACAAAACTCCCTTTTTTTTCCCAACAGAAAACTCCCTTTTTTTCCCTATAGAAAAATCCCTTTGTATCTACAGAAAATTCCACTGGGATGCTCCCATTCCCATGGAGTAGCTCTTACTGGGCTGCTCCTGTCCCACTGGAATTCTCTTACCCCAGTTGGATTCTCCTGTCCCACACAGTGGGATGTTCCTATTCCACTGGGATGCTCCCATTCCCATGGAGCAGTTCTCACTGGGCTGCTCCTGCCCCACTCGGATTCTCCCATTCTCATGGAGCAGCTCTCACTGGGATACTCCTGTCCTACTGGGATACACTCACCCCACTGGAATTCTCCTGTCCCATTGGGATGCTCCCAGTTCTATGGAGAAGCTCTTGCTGGGATCCGCCTGCCCCACCGGGATTCTCCTGACCCACTGGGATATTCCCATTCCCATGAAGCAGCTCTTACTGGGATGCTCCTGTCCCACTGGGATTCTCCTGCCCCAGTGGGATGCTCCTGTCCC